ACGAAGAGGGTGACTCCACGTGGCCAGTGCCAGTGGGCGTAGGAGCAGCGGAAGTGGTGGGAGCAGCGGACGAGGTCGGAGCAGCAGAGGTGGGGGTAGACATCACTTTGAATTAAGTTGGTACGTTCTGTCAAATTGAGGACTGCGCCGTTTGTCTTGTGTCAAAGGGAATGGTATTAGTATACAGTTTACTAATATTAATATTGCCGAAGCTCATCCCAGTCCAAAAGCCAGTGCCTGAACATGCAGCTTGTGTGGACGAAAAATGTTGCGGTGGACATGTCGTGCCCCAGTTGTCGACACTAATGTGGGATGTAGGTCAAGACAGCGAGGGTATTTGGCACGCAGTGATCGATAAGGAGGTTGGTCGAGCAAGTGGTTGAGTGCTGTTCGCATGGCGCCACGAGACCCGTCGGACGGGTCCAAGCGACGAAGCCAGCTCCGCGCTGTGGACGTCCACGTGACAAAGGAAAGGTCGACGAGTGCTGTCGACGGAGGCAGTTGACGTTGTTGGTATTGAACAAAATTGTGGTGTTTCCACACCAGGTGCAACAAACGCCCGTAATCATCGTCCACAGTTGCTGGAGCTCCGATTTGTGAGCCGCAAACGAAGGGTTGACTGAAAATACGTCGACGTTGAGGATGGATTGCCACGTAAATATAACACCCGTCGATTGCCAAGCAGTACGGTGTGCAGCCCACAATGGGGCGATGTGGGGACAATATAAAAAGGCGTGTTCCACAGTTTCGACGACGCCACATCCGTGAGCACACATAATAGCATTGGGGTCGATGGTTTGGCGATACGAATAGCGGGAATTGACCGGAATAATGCAAAAGAGAATACGGAACCACACGTTGGTGTGGACTGGTGTCAAAACGACAAGGAGGAGCCGAACAACTCGCAAGTAAACTTTGGCAGCAGCGTAATCCGGTCGTGTGGGCGACATTGTACGGTGGTCTTTAGATGGAAGCTCGGCATGATAAGCCATGGTTACTACACTCCGGCGGGGCCACAACTCGAAAGGCACACAACTGTCCTTGATCGTGGCGCGAAATGCATGCCTTGACATACAGAATAGCGATGTTGTTGTCGGACCGGTGCGCGGCAATCGCCGTCTGTGCGTCATTGAAGTCCAAGTCACTGTCCTTGTCTTCCCACTTCTTTCGTCGGATGTGGACAATGGCGGCAAGGGCGACCCCAGCCATCACGCACCCACCCGCCAGAATCAAGTAATACCCCAAGTCCAATCCTTGGTCCTCCGCTTGGGCCTGGACTGAAATCTCGACGCCATTGGGAGAAGACGTCGACTGGGCGATTGAGAACGCGACAGGTGGGGAGGTTGTAGTTTCGTTGTGTAGGTCGTTCGCATCGATGGGATGCGTCGTGGAATCAGCCACCGGTAGGGGCACAGCCGTAGCCTTCGAGGTCGAGACGTCAGGTGATGGTGACAGCGTGGTGACAACTGAACCAGTTGTGGTGGGTTCCAGGGTTGAAGCGACCGGCGTGGATGGGGCCTTCGATGACACGGGCGGTGCAGCAGAAGAAGGAGGAGCGGTGGGAGACCCATCCGAGCGGCCAAACTGTTTGCCGGTGGACACGCATCCATCCTTGCTCATGTCGAGGGTGGCCGTGATGGCGTCGCCGCCGCTATCCGGGGTCACTTCAAACTGCACTCTGGACAAGTCGAGCCCAGGGCTGGATTCAAGTTTGAAGTAGAACGCAGAGTCGATCAAGGACGTGGCTTTGCCGTTGATCTTCACGGAGCCGATGCCACTGACGGCGCCGGCGGGCTGGACAGCAAACCAAAACGCGTTACTGCCAGGTTTTTTGCACATCACAATGTCCGACGTGTGGGGGCACGTCACAAACGACCATGTCATTTTCAATCGACCAGGTTCGATGCCGTTGGTGAGCTTCATGAACACTTCGCGAGAAAAGTCGAGGTCGTCCTTGGCACAGCCAGGGCACTGATCCACAACGTAGAGCACTTCCGTGGCAGTGGCACCTTTGCACCTGTCGTTCGTGCAGCGTACTTGAACGCACTTTCCGCACGCGGCCGTTTGCGCAAAGCGTTCGGTTGCGAGCGCGACATAATTTGTCGACACAGCTTTCGGGACGTTCATGAAGTTGCAATTGCCGCTGCTTGGTGTGCCGAGGACGTACCCCGTGCCGTCACCCGTAAACTCCTGTGCCGCGGCCGTGGCCAGGGACACGGCGGTTGCAAGGATGAAGCGCCAGTACAACATGCTTCCAGCGGACGAGATGTTCCAGAGTGCTCTCCACCATCGACAGCTCGTGACATGTGTCAGCTCATGGGCTTGTGTCGTGAGTCACGGGCGCGTGAGCGCGACGACGGACGAATTTTGCAAGTGGAATGGTCCGGCGACCTTGGAGTCGCACATCAAGTGACCGAACGAGACGAGGTCGGGTTGTGGAC